TCAAGAACATCGCGCCATCAAGAAGAGTTATGTCAACCGCATAATTTTAACATAGAAATTTTCCAAATTTCAACATCCATCATATAGGAATTCGGTCTGCCAATGGTCGAGGCGGTCCCCCCGCTTTGTTGTGCCGGGCAGGCTCGTTTGAATCATTCTGCCAACAAAAACAGAACCCATGTGGACTTTTTCAGAGCCCATGATGCAGACGTACATTGGGTTTGCAGATGGGGCACAGCACCCCCGCCCCCCGCTCTCGTTTCATACCGTGCATGGCTTGCTGTCAGGAACATCGTGCCATGAAGAGGAATTGCGTCGATCACATAATTCTGATTGAAGGTTTCAAGTTTTATGCATTACGGGTTCTGAAAGGGGCCATATGTTGACAGCAAGGCATGCACGGTATGAAAAGAAAACGATTGAAACGAGGGGGCGTGAAGAGCCGGACTCGCCAAATGAGGGGGGCGTGTCTAAGATATAGGATGAACCGGAATCGCCAACAGCGGGGGCGTTTTCAAGATATGTGATGAACCTGAGTCGCCAAAATGAAGGGGCGTGAAGAAAATGAATGATGAACCCGATCCGCCACATGAGGGCGAATCGCCAAATGAGCGGGCCCTTCATATGATGAACCGGTCCCGAACTTGTTGAAGATATATGATGAACCGGAATCGCTAGATAAGGGGCGTGGGTAAGATCTGTGATGAATCGGAATCGACAAATTAAATGAGGGTGCGTGTTTGAGATATATGATAAAACGGAATCGCCAAATGTAGGGGCGTGTTGTAGATGTATATGATGAACCGGAATCAAGACAGAAGGAACGGTTTAAGATATATGATGAATCGGAATCGCCAAAAGAGGGGCGTGCATAGCAAAAATGATGAACCGGAATCGCCAAATGAGGGGGCGTGTTTCAGATGAATTGGAATCGCCCAAGGAGGGGGCGCGTTTAATCCGAATCGCCAAAGAAGGGGGGTGTGTAAGATCTGTGATGAACCGGAATACAACTTGCTGAGTGACCCGCCACCCTCCGGATGGCCTAGCAAGAATCGGGTTATTTTGTGCAAATTGCATAGAGCTTGCATGAGTCTGCATGAGCAGAGAGGCCTGCAAATATACATTCCGAAGAAGCTGCCACTTCAGACGGAGTAGAGCTTCTAAACTTTGACTCCAACCTAGTTATAGTTTGCTTGAAAGAAAGGAAAACGAAAAACATACCGGACAAGAACAAAACACTGAAATTAACTCCGGACCCCTCTTCAAGTGTTACGGCGTTACGGCTTGCCTGTGGTGAGCATGGCCGCCTCGCAGTTTGAAGTCGGATGCGGATGTCCACTGTCCAAGATTGGGCGCTGCCAAGGTCCTCCTGGAGGTTCGGGATTCTCAGGACCCAGCCTGCTGAGGTTCGGGCTTTGAAGCTGTTCTACAGAGCATTGATAAGCCTGTAAAGGATGACAAAAACAGTGTCGCGGAGATGCATGGGAAATCTGCAAGTTCTCGGCTTCGGCTTCGGCTCACAGCGCCCTCTCCCGGGGCCGACCTTCTCCCTGGGCTGCGTAGCGTTTTGGGCCCGCCTGCACCAGGCGCAGTGCCAGCTAAAGCCTTCACATTGATGCTTGGAAGAACGAGTCCCAGGATGATGCGCCGCGGCATTCGTAGCAGCCTGCGTGCCCTGCCTCGTCGTGACCGATGGCACATGTTGCAGGAGCGGAAGCGTTCACGTTTCGGCTCGGAGCAGTGCTAAGCCTGCGAAGGAGTACGCCGTCGGAGAGAGCAACCAGGAGGAGTTTCGCAAGCTGCGAGTGCGCGACGGCCAGGCCAGGCTCCGGATCCAGGATTTTTCTGCGCCAGCTTTGGTGTCTGCTACTCCAGGTCACGACCTTGGTGGAATCCACTTCCAGCGCTCCTGCAAAGGCCGCTGCCTTGAGCACTCAGTAGGAAGACTGTGCATTCACGGCTCCTTGTCGTGAGTCGACGCCTGTGGCACTGTAGCAGTAGCATCTGCGGAGACAGACGACGAGTCTCATGATGTCTCACGACTGATGTTCGTTCGAGACTTGCATGGGGAACTGTGAGTGAGCCCCAGTGCAATCTCCGAAGCATAAAGAAGTTCTTGTGAGCTCCCAGCGGCACCTGTCCCGACACGCATTGCAGCTGGTGTGCTGAGACCATCGACTGGGCTTCCTGGGATTCCCGCATCAGCAACAAAGAGGTGCCCGTGCCCTTTGGCTCTGCCGACACGTCTTGCTCCCGATTCGCTACAGGTCCTCGGCTGCCTCAAGAGCTTCCACGAGCAGCAGTCTGTTCTGCTGGAGACGGTCCTCAAAGAGGCACCCGCAAATTGCCGGATCGGTTCCTCACAATTTAGACACATGAAACGGGTGTCACGGTGCGGGCGGTGCCCTTCTTCTGTTGGGGGAAGTCTAACCATAATATGTCGGGTGCCGCTTGCTCTTCGTGCAATTTCTCCAAACCTTCTTGAGCTGGAGCTGTTGTAGGTGGGACATGTGCAACCCAAAAAGGGGTTGTTACTGATGCAGAAGTCTTGTCTGCAAGTTCAATGTCCTTTCCCTGTTCAGAAGCCGTGAGAACTGTGATATGCGTGTGGGTGACTGCCAGGGTGCGTGCGCGGAGGGACAGAGCCCAGCCAAAAAAACACATGCAGAATTCCTGTCCATTCTTTGGCACCCAAGTTTTTGCTACATACCATGGTTGTTTGGTTTTTGACCGTCTTGTGGAACACAATCTCAGGGAGCTTGGCCTGAGATGCAACGGAGGGAACCCTCAAAAGAGAGTCGGAAAGAGAAACATCGCCTCAACTTTGCGCGGTGCGATCTGAGCATAATATCTGAGCAGGATCACTCCGCATCGATTAAGAAGCAGACGGAAGGCTCGGAGTTTGGTTCCTTCGAGTGTTCGTTGACAGTTGCTTCCTCTTGGTCTCTTGTGAGGCTGGGAGCTTTTCGATGCAGCCGTGACGAGCTGTCAGAAGTCCGTGGAGAAGCGGGGGCCCCAGGAGCCGAAGAATCTGCCTCTTCGGCTGCGGTCACCCTCAGAGCGAGGTGTTGAAAAAAAAAAACCCCTGGTCGCCAGAGGTCTGAGCAGATCTTGCAGAACGGAGCCCGTGCGCTGTGGATTTCCTTCCAGTTTGCTCCTCAGTGCACACAAGGAGTCTCTCTCCTGAGTGTTCGGTTGGAGACATGGGCTTTTCCTCGAGGAATCCGCCAATTTCGATGCTTTCCCAGTCTGAGTGGCTGGATGCTGACCAGTACTGGCAGGCCTTAGCCGTGCAAGCAGCGAAGCAGGGCTCAAGAGTTGATGCGGCAGGCCTTCGTCGAGAAGCACCATTTCTACCACAACCACCTGCTAAGTGCCGTCGAAGATCCCGAGAGCAAGGACTACGATGCCAAGACGAAGGTACTGCTCAGCCCACCAGAGCATCCCAAGGCTTCCATGAGGAAGGCCCATGCATCGAAAGGCTGACCTCAAGAAGCGATGGGAAACCTTCGACGGTCGACAGCTAAGAGACTGTACCATTCCGTCTGATCCTTTCTCTTCTCATCGGAATGAACTGCGACTGGCATGCTGAGGCCGTGGAACGACGCGCCAGAACAACAAGCTGCTGTACCAGCGGCCATCTTTCGAGTGCCCCCCCTGAAACCTCCCGGAAGAAACAGCTGTGCCCCTTTCAATTCGGCCGGATGCGCTGGGAGCTTAGGTACTACGACGTCTTCCGGGGTCCGCTCATCGAGCACATGATTTTCTATCTCACAAAGACCGGGGGCGATGCCAGGAGAGTCGCGTGCCTGTGCCTGGAGTAAGGGAAGAGATGCCTCCTTGTGGCAGGACTTTCCCCGAAATGATGCCTACCAAGTGGTGCCCGCCTCGGTCGTTCTGAGATTGTGATACTCATATGGGCTGACAGCTGCCTATTCACTTCATCTGCATGCATCTGCACCTTGCAGTTGCCTACCCTGCCTACGTGCTTCAGCGAGATCTCAGGGCGTGAGAGGCTGCTTAGTGATCGGAAGGTATGCGGAAATCTATGACATCCGTTTCAAGCTCTACAATATCCTGCAACGCCGGAAGCGGCAGGTCCTGGCAGTCTGATGTAGACGTGCGGCCTGGAATGCAATGCTAGCCTTTGTGCCTTGTGCAGGTCCACGAGGCGAGCTGGTCTCGCGAAGCCTTCCATGATTTCCATCCGCACGACCTGGAGCATGATGGCGAGGCCTCTCCCGATCATCTTGTCAGTCGTGAAGCCTTTTATGCCTGTCGCATGCTTCTGCAAGGCCTACTACTCCAAGCTCATTGCCAAGGAGGCTGCAGTCTGAGATGGGGCGAAGCCTGTCATGGCTCATGGGTCAATGCATCCTGCGTCATGATCTGAGTCCGTGGCCACCGAGCTTTGTGCCGGCCGCCTCATGGGGAGACCCGGCCCATTCAGTCATGCCACCCATGCTTGTACAGCTAAAGGGCGACCTAGCACAATCGCCCAAGCGCAGGAACTTCATTCTTTTCAGTGATGCTTACGTGCCTGCTGGGAGCTCGGTGAAACCAGAACTCTGTGGTTCTGTCACTCCCTGCTTTTCTGAGGTGCAGTCGGGCACCGGTTTTTATAGAGCCATCCAGATGGATGGTGGGAAGGGTGCCCCAACGCAGAGTCGCTGACGGCTTCTTCGCACACCTGCTCTGCTACCTTGTTTCAATCTCCCTTGCTCAGCTTTGGCTCCAGAGCTGGACCAATGAGAGAAGTTCAAGCCCATGGAACAGGCACCAGTGAGGAATGTTGAAGACACAGAGACACAGAGAAGCCCAAAGAAACTTTGGCCATGGCACCTCCCTCGTCTGCGAGACCAGGGGAGGCTCCGTGGACGTCGAGGCAGGAAGCCCAGCCTGCACCGTGGCGTAGAAGCGTCGGAGTGGCAGGCACAAGCCCCGACACCTGGGCGAAGTGGTGGGAAACACCGACCAGGCCAGGCCAGGGGAGCGCTGAAAACCGAAGCCCTTTGAAGACGGGGAGTGCTTTTTGAGAGGTGCGGAAATTGGCAGAATGGTTGCGAGCAGGGCAGCTCAGGATCTTCAGGATGACTTGCAGCCTCAGCTTGCTGGCTCGTAAGGACTGGGACGATGTTGTCCTCCGCGGAAAGAAAAAGGAACTTCCACCCCAGGACATGCTGTGGTAGAGTTCGCTTCTCATTCGTGACCATTGCCGATGTGTTTCCAGTTCCCGATTATGCAGAAAACCCCAAAGAACCTCCCGGCCAGCACCGACACAAACGAACAATCAGCTCTTCATACAAGCAAAAGCACCGGCATTGGCCATACTCGTGGAGATACCAAGCCAGCATCCCCGCAGCCCGAGCTGTGATCGATGAAAGCTGAAGTGTTCTGTTTCAGAGGACCCGACGAAGAAGTTCCAACCGGCCGCGACTCAAGAAAGCGGTGCAATCTTGCGGCGTTCATTGGCACTGCAGTGTTGCCTTTGTCTGCTCTGCTCTACCTAGGCCCCAGAGAACCTGAATGCTCGAGCGGTCAGAAGCTCAGTTTCTGTACGGCCGTGATATCAAATGACCCTGGGCAAAGTCTCGCAGCACGTCTCAGGTGCTCGTAAGTGGACCTCCAGGGTGCAGCTGCCATGTGCGTGGCACCGGGCGGAAATTTTATGTTTCTGCGCTTCTGCCAGGATTGGAAAAACCACGACCTGCTGCCTTGTTGCCGCAGCCTTGGAAAACTAGCGAAGTCGAGCACTCTTCCGACAGTCTCGTTCTGACCGGAGGCGAGATGTTCGCGATACAGCCTCATGGAGTTCAATGCCTCTGACGCGCGGAGCAAGGCCTCGTCATTTTCGACCGGCAACACCGCTCGTGCCAGCATGCCTGAGCCGACAGTTTGAAAGGATTATGCTTACTTCTTGGGCTAAGCTGTGACCTGTTCTCGCCCTGGAACGTAGGTGAAACTCCTTGAACAATAATTGCCACCGGAGCACGGGTTCAAGAGTCTTCGAGTCTTCGATGCATGTTCTTGGGTGGCCGGCATAAGACCTTTCATCAGGCTGTGATCGACGGTTTGTCCAACTCACTGGTTGCTGCCTGAGTATGGCGAGCTGACGTGTTTCCGCCGGACAGCCGGATAGCCCAACCTACTGGTGCCGTTGCTATTGGTCAGCGAGCCTCCCTCCAAGCACGGGAGCCGTCGTCGAGGACAGGTCTGCCCCTGCCTCCACGCACCAAGGCAGGGAACCGCACTCTTCGCTTCGGCAATGCTGGGAGCAACCTGAACCGCTCTGCCGGGTGCCCTCTTGAAGCTGACGAGCCAGCTGAGATCCGGCAGCCGAGGTCATCATCATGGACGAGTGTGCCGGGCTTGGGCTTTGGAGACAGTCTT